TTTTTTCCTTGCCTGACATTTAGTCCACGATATTATTTATTTGCTTCAGTGACTTCAATTGTCGTCTTACACATATATCGGATACAATATATATATATATTATATATTCATTTGAGTATTATGGGTCCCGAAACTGTCTACGCTTTCACCGACATGACCGTAATTAGGTGTGATGGATGACTAAATCTTTCTGTGCCATTGTTCTAGAAGATGCAGTATTGTCGTTATACCACGCGATTCAAATGTGTATAATTTAAATTCATACCTATTTAAACGGTTCCAGATCAACGACTGATATCCAAACACCTGCGTATGGGTATGTAGTGCACAACGAATAACTCTGAATTTGCCAATTTAAGTCATCTTTAAATTCCTATTGGTTTTCCTCATCGTTGTTATAATTATTCCAAAAAGGTTATATGTTTAAATATTAAAAACTGTTTCATAAAAATATTTTTAAAACGTTATATCCCATAGGCCATGTTATGCCTATAGTATACGTAATGTTTCATCAAGTGTGATTATATACATATTATTTTATTTCTAGTTCAGAAATGTAGTACATAATATTACCTGTGTATTTTTTTGACACACCCTGTACACGGTAATTTATGTGAACGTGTAAGACCGTGTTGCCAAAATGTATCACCTTAATCGTCACAGTTAAACTCACAATATATATTTTATTGTTCATCGTGAATAAAAACTAGTGATTAATCACTATATTTATGAGTGTACAAACTCATAGAAATCATGAACTATGCAAACGTATAAATTAAAATCGGATAATTTATGAAATATTATAAAACATCTGTATTCTTGACGTGTTTAAATTATTATTTTGAAATAACTCATAATTGTTTTAATGTCTATTTACGATCTATCATACGATAAAACAATAAACAATGGGAGGACAGATTATAGGTATGTATAACTATAATAATAAAGGCGTTATGATCGCGTTAAAAGTACGTAAATCATATTTTGTCTTCTATTGTAACTAGTAACTATTATTATATAGTTGCCTACTCTTAAAATTATGATAAGCATCTATGTAGTCTGAGTTCTGTAAACCTGGCTATATCATTATATCGATCAAAACCCGCTAATACTTAAGACACGACGCACTCGTTTCTAAAAATCTGTTTCTTTTTTGTTACACAATAATAATAATATATAGGATCATAAAAAATGTGCGTGGTTGCATGTAATTAGAACAGACGTTTAATAAATGTGTCGTTTTGAATGTTTTCCCTAAAGTATTCAATACGATGCAATATTTATAAAAATCCATAAATCATTTTAAGTATCGATCATCGAATAATCGAGCAAAGAACACACAACATCATCACAATATGCAATGTATATGCCATTTTTAACGTGGGTCTCATTGTCACTGCACAATGCGTTGTGAAATAATGACTTAAATAATTTAACGTGCGGTTAGGATTATGCACGTACGTAGGTACATATTTATTATATATAACATGCGTGTGTTGTGTGTACACAGTATTTTGACAGTATATTAACAAATGATGGATATATGACCATCGCATACGCATAATATATGATATAGGTGTACATTATTTTCAAACCGACTCGTGTGGTTAATATTTTTTTACGCGACCGGAACACAGCAATACACGTGCCAACTCTGTTTCAAAGACGTTTATCTTATTCTCGAAATGAAAATAATATGCCACGCCGCATATACTTGTCATATACTTACAGAATATGAGTAGAAATTCGTACGTGCTCCATAAGTATACGGGAAAGAACCGTGGTGACGCGTTTCTAGGAGACGTCTAGAGACCGCTAGAATAAAAAAAAAAACCAACCCATCGTGTGTATATAATATATATGTGTGTGTGTGTATATATTATATCTATAGATTTATGCACATAACGTCTAGTCCAGCGGTTCCCAAACTGTGCGCCGCGGCGCCCTGGTGCGCCGCGATGTCTTTTCAGGGCCGCCGCGTCGCCGTAGAAATTTACCTGGTCTAAAAATAAATTCATACTATGTCTTGGGAAGGGCGCCTTGAGAAAAGTTTAGTTCAAAAAGGGCGCCGTGAGCTAAAAAAGTTTGGGAACCGCTGGTCTAGTCCAACACCCTGCAGTACAAACCACGAGCTGGTGTTTTAATATTGTGCACAGCTTTCCACAATTCGTGGTTCGATAATAATATATTATATGGTAGCACGTTATTCATTTTTTTTTTCGCGTACACATTTCACTATAACCATATACCCGTCGTAATAATATATACGAGCGCGCCAGGAACAATGGGGCCTGGATTTTTACTCTCTAAAAACACTTATTTAACATGTTTACTGTGTGTATGTGTGTGGGAGAAGAGATATATATAGATGCGAATCGCTTCATCGGTCAATGATGGGGCTTAGACTTTTCGGTTGTGTAGATAGTGCTGCAGTTGTCCGTCCTCTTCCGAGATCGGTCACGAAATTATACACACGTAAGTAGTTGTAAGTTGGTATAAAAAAATAAAAAAAATATTACTCGACCTGAAAATCGTGTTCTCGGTGCAATAAAATATGGTGTACAATATTATTATTATTATTATATTGGATAAACGACCGCTCACGCCGAAGATGGCTATCTGTGGGCCGTCGTTTGTGTTCAATAAGTACCGAATGATTTAAACGCTACTCGTTTATATACGAAAACAAACAGTAATCTAGTTATTATATTATTATCCTATACAGACGTACAACACACGCACGTTCGCGCATAAACCACTTAATATAGATAGGTACGCGTGTACGATGATGTTATTATCATTATCAATAATAATAATATTATTATTATTGGTACTATTGTGCTGCGGGACGATATTATATTATATGAGAGCATGCCGTTCATCGTAAAACATAATAGGTACAACATAATATAAATACGGATAATATTATAATATTATAATGCCGAGTCGTTCCTGGACAGCTTTTATGTTGTACGTTTGTACAATAATTATTTCGAGTGCACTTAAAAAATTACAAACGCGGCAGCAATAAAATAGTAGTTCCGCACGGCGTGCCCTCCGCACTAGGACGAATTACGACGGCGACCGACTACCATCGAATATGATTTATTGTTAATTTCATTCCGCCAAATGGTAAACCAATAATATTATAGTAATAATAATAATAATAATGTTATCATACGATCGCCGGTGCGTTTACATATTATTATTATTATTCAAACACACGCGTCACGATGTAATATAGATATTATATACGCCGGATTAAACCTGATAAAACTTCATTTTATTTTTATTAATTATTATTGTTCCGTTTTGTGTAATTTAAATTTCATTTCAGTTTTGTATCCGACAATCTTGTAGACCTACATGCATGTATAATAATATAATATATACGACGGAGGTTACGTTCTATAACGTAACATAATATTATGCAATGATTATAATTCTACTATATATTTTGATATATATTTTATTATTTTCGAAAAAAAAATAATAATGAGTAAATCCGCCTATATACATGTATCTCGGAACTCAAAAGAAAAACACTTGAAAAGCAAAAATACGTATTGGGTGGTTAGTTGTATATTACATTCCATAAATAACTCCGACCCTTGCGCGTAAAGTTCAAGCCCGAGACACGTTTTATACGCCTACGGCTATTTCAACCCATTATAATAACGCACGAAATGAAGTCTATTTTGAGGTTGATCTAGTCGTTTTTGCGGAAAAGGCAATTCTAGCGGATATACCCTCTTGGACGAATTCGTGTAAAACCGGTGGAACGGAAAACAAACTATATATATTCGTCTTAAAACTTTTCCCCCGACAAAAAAAAAAAAGATTCAAACGCAACAAAGTAAAATAAATTGAAAAACGGAAAGCTCTTTTGTACATAAGCCTCCCCGGCGAAGCTCCCGGTGATCTTATATTATATAATATATATATATATCTGCAATAGTTGAGGACATTTCCTTTCTAACCGCGAAATTACAAGGGTCAAATTAACGGTCTCCTTGACGGTTTTGTTTTCCATGAGCCGGATCAATACCGTTATAATATATTATTATTATTATGATTATTGTTGTTGTTGTTCGCTTTCTAATATAAAATAATAATGTGTATATTATAGTATAAACACTGTTTTTTGTTCATCGAATAGTGGAAGCGTGTTTTTGACACACTTCATAAGTTGTTTGCACAGATGTAATTAAATGATTGCACCTATATGCAATATGCATAAAAACAAACAAAGCGATGTTGGTACCTACACTAATGCTGTTACTTAAAAATATCCATCTACTATATAAACATAGATAGGTAATAAAAGTTGTATTAAAAATGCAATAAAGATTGTTTCGTTATACAGTTTTTTTACCTATATATTTCTGTTTCAAACAAAATTTGTTCTCGTTCTCTACCTGTATATTGTTTTCACGAGTAATTGAAAACTTCAATCACGAAGTATTGGAAATATATTATATACCTATGTATTTGTTCACAAAACAAACCGATCGGTCCAGTTAAAAGTCATTAAAAATTAATTTAATTTCTTAATTCTACTTTGGATGCTATATATATATATATATATATATTTGTGTGTGTGTGCACTATATACAGAGTACAGGTATTTATGTCTTACACAGTAGTTATATGTCAGAGCCTCACTAACTTTATATTATAACCATATAATCATGACTTGCACGCTCGCCGATCATAAAATTATTGTTAAAACGTTTTTAGGGTACAAACAACAATAATTCTCAAATTTCAAATGTACCTATGTATATATTACAGTGGCGTACCTGTGAAACATTTTTTTTTTTGGGGGGGGGGGGGCATAAATTAATTGCACAATTTTTTATGGTTATAATAATGGTTATATTAATATGATATTTATTATTTCTATGTACCTCCAAGTCTCCATCCTTCCCAGTTAAATTTGAAAATTTAGTTACAGGTTCAATGATAAATTTTTTCAAAGTTATCGTGTAATACCTTCCTCATCCTTTATTGCTAAATAAAACACAATACTTGCAGAACAAACCGGACTTAATATGAGAATAAATTAGCCATTTGTTTTGTTCGAAATAACTTTTTCTTAATGATCTTTTCACATTCTTACCATTTCTAATATTCATAGTAAATGGATATATGAAGTCATCAGGTGGTATATTATCCATATTAATTATTTTTTCTTTAATATTATCAGATAATGTACGACCGGGTGTTCTTAAAAAGTTTCCAATGTCCATGTTGTATGTGTCATCACAAACTGCACTGTTACAAGTAGTTTTACTTAATTTAGTAGATTCATCATTTTGTGTCAGTGTAGATGATTCAATTGGAATAATATTCTTTGAATTGGAAGATTGTGGATCAGATGTATGAAGTTTTTTCGTGATGGGTCCAGTGCTGTCATCACAACAACGCTTTTCAGCTTTTTTTGATACCCATTGAGTCAATTGTGTCTGAATGTTTGATTTAGACATAATGAATAATATTTAATTATTTAACAATTAATTCAAACAATATTTAATACAAAACAAGGAAAAAAACAATAAACTTCGTTAAAAGCGTGTATAGTATAGATACAAAGTAAGTAATGATAACGTCCTCATGTTGATCACTTGATATTGTGGCGTCTCGCCACAATATCAATGATAAGTGATAACCACATTATGAAATAGTGACTATATATTGTGACCATAACATTACTCCAAATCCCAATTTAGTAGAATATTGACATTTTATACATAGATAATATACTATCATTATTTTATAATACATTGATAAGTGATATCAAAAACTTTTGATATCAAACACGATTAAAATCAGTGAAAATTAAAAATATTTATTATTTACATTATTTAAGCTGGACAATGAATTTGCATTATGACATCAAAAAACTTCTCGGGGGGGGGGCAAATGCCCCTGTTGCCCCCCCACAGGTACGCCACTGGTATATAATATCATATAATGGAGACAAACTATACAGGAACATACAGATAAACATTATGCGAACCTATATATGTATAATATATTATGCAACTCTCGTTGTAAACATAATAATTGGTTTAAATCGCGTCAATTACACTCTCGTCACGAGAATAAAATACTTGTTTTATATTGTATAATAATACATCGGCGGGTAAACGGAAAATTATAGCCATAATATATTCCGTGGGATAAAATGCCATTTGTGAGGTTGCAGACATTATATATATATTATGTATATGCGCATGTCCTGTACGAATCTATACTCCAGATAATGATTCGACTCGAGGATAATTAGGAATAGGTATATAATACGGAGCAGCGTCGTCCGTCGCTCGGACAAAGATCACTCGGCTGAATGTAAATTCTAGGACTGCGATAAGATTATAACAACAATAAGACGACCACTTGAGATTGCGACCGCTTCGGCGGTGACATTGATATTGAACGAGGTCTGCTCGGATATAGAAACAGTACAGTGGCGTCCCACAGACTATGGCGATGGCAGCAGTCGCAGTAGTTGAGTAATACGGTAGTAGACAATTTAGTACCTAAGTAATATATAAGTGGACACCAAAACCGTATAAAACGTTTTCGAACTGTTGACGTTCTTGATCCTTTCGGGCGATTATCCCTTCTCTTGTTAGGACAACGCACAGACTTTCGTCCTCCCTTCTCATTTTCTTTGTCCGCAAACACGACCTTTCCAAACGATATTTCCCAGTACGTCAGCTCCTATATTTGTCAAAATTGGAGTGCAGATGTCAGCTATATAATAGCTTATATATATAATATGTATAGTGTGTATTGTAATATAACATATTATTATAGTACTGCAGTGTAGGGGCATGTACATATTATATGTATCCACGGGCTTTGTTACATTTCTAGGCACTCAAACTCGACTTTCAAACATTTTCGCCTTCGAAACGAGACCGCGAAACCCTCATCATGCCGTATCAAAAATCCTTATCACCTCCTCAAACTTTTGAGTTTTAATTATTCTATTCCGTGTTTTAACCGGTCCCATTATTGACTACCGGTCAAAATATATAATTCCAACGATTCCCTTTCCTCCATCGGTACCCCACTCTCTGCAGTGAGTTACACCAGCAGCTAATATGCATATAACCTAAGTTACTGTTAGACGTTGCAGGTTGACGTTATGCATGACAATATATTGACACGAACGTGTTCGCGGTCTAATAAAGCTCATCAATAATGTGCTGGTTATAATTTTTCAAAAAACGAAGGCGGTCAACTGCATTTAAAACCGTTACATCGGCCAGCAATTGGCGATATTCGGTGGTCGTATAAAAGCGTTCGCGTGCGATGGCTGTGTGAGCAATATCAATTTTAACGGGACAAATCGCGCGGAAATGATATATAATATATAATATTATATTTATATATATAAATAAATGATTTCCCCTCCCCCGTTTTGTGTATAATATATAAATAATAAATATATAAGTACGGGTGCAAAAATATAAATTGTATAAATCACGTTATTGTTTACGGCACCGATGAGAAATGGTAAATAAAACTCTGACGATTATTATATTTTCTTGTTTATATATATATATCGAACTTGGAAATTGGCAAAAACCGTAGTGAAAACGCGCAATATATATATATATATATATATTACGTACACCACTTTCCACGCACCACGAAATCGTAGTCTGATAATAATTTATTATATCGTCGTCGGTGGCGTTCGGTGGTGGTCCATTAGAGAAATGTGTCGTTTTATAAATTACGACCGCAACTACGATTGTCGGTCGGTCGGTTTGTCACACCTTCGACTTCTTCGTATCACCGCCCCACCTGCGCAACAATCGCCGAAAAGCGTTTCTCCGGGTGCCGACCGCGATGAGGAATATAATATATTATAGGTACACCTACCTAAAACGAAATTTATCTATACATACCTATTATATTCGAGTAGATAACCGCGTCGTGTGTTTATATACTGTATAGCTTTTACAAGTGCGGACAATCGGTAAACGTCAGGTTTTTGCACATCCGACAACCACAAAGTTCTATTATACGACGGTGGTGCCGGTGGTGTGCTGGAAGGTGCGAATAGGGTATTTATTATTTCGTGATTATTACTGCAGTACAATTAGAGGTATTTAATAATTCGTATTCAAATATATTTTTGATGGTCTTTCGACAATGCGCGAGTACTTTTTTTGTTGTTTACATTTTGGTTGGAAATAAACAGTTTTAAAAGCTTCCCATTAATATACTTTTGGAATGATTTGGACGAGGCTAACAATCTGACGTAATTTATTCTCTTATTTTTCGTTATCCAGTTAAACAAATGTCAATTGAATATTTATATAAATTATAATTTATAATAATGGCTATAATAGGCCTGTAGTTTTTTTTTATCATGGAAAGGTACCGACAATTTGTCTCACACAGATGGAAAAATAACACATCCAGTTACTTCCATAAGCTAAACGTCTCGTTTCTCATATTATAGGTGATATTACTATTATTGACTAATAGGTACTAATACGTTGTTAATATTTTTATTTCTCTTAGAACGTTAATCTTTGACATTTTTTGTACATCATCTCGAAACGATAAGCATATATACTTAAAAAAAATCGAGTAATAACGTTCTTGTAATTTTTTAACGGGTTTTTAACGAGTTTTTAATGGGCTTCTACTATAAGTTACTATCATGTTTTAAATAACGAACTCTTTACAAAAAATACAAATGTGTCATTTCTTGCTTTTTCTTTGATAACAAGTTAATAACAGTTTACATTTTGTTGTACTCGTAGTTTAGTTGAAGTGAATAGGTACTTAAATACACGTATATCTAAGTGTTGTGCATTAGAACGAATTGATAATAATTTACCGACATTCCAAATAACTGAAGTATTAAACACATTATGATTCCTTTATAAAAATTAAAATACTTAAAACACGATAAATTGTTTATTTTTAACACTCTATCCATTTAATTACATTTTATAATATTATATTGTTTCATATCATTAAAAGTTACTTAAATGTAGACAAATATAATATATATGTAATTTATCTTCAAAACCAGATTTAGGTGAGTATAACAAAAAAACCACGCTTAACTATATTCTATTAATTAATCATTCAATTCTCAAACTCGATGACGACAATATCATCAAAGTTTAGCGTGGACGAAACCTTGCAACTCGTATTTATTTTTTATAGCTTTCCGTTCGTTTCTTTCGTTGAAATTTCGAGTGCACCGTCGATGAATGTTTCGTGGAGGCGTATTCCGGACGTATTATTTATGATGTCGGATAAAAAGTGTATAACACACACACACACACATTGGCTTTAGGTTTTTGAGCGAATAAAATATAAAACTAAATAAATAAACAGTAAGGTCGCGATCGAAAGCCCTCGTATCTTCGTCCCGTGAGATGGGTTTTTTCTTTCATTGCGTTTTCGTTTCCACTATGACGCCAAAGCGTATATTATGTAATAAGAATATTATTTACCCGAATTTCGGGTCAAACATTCTCACCGGGCTCAGAGATGTACTCATAAAGTGTGTGTATTTTTTTTTAGTATAAAATCGTATTTTGACGTCTGATTTAGACCGTTCAGATGACTCGTAATCATGGATAAAACTAATATATTGTATTTTCTTTATAATATTCTAGTCGACAGCTGCTGTAATTTGACGTGTCCATAAACTATAAATAATAATATATTATCATTCATAATAACTTAAACCTATGGACAATACGATCATTTTGTAACTTATATATTTTTCAAAAAGAAGAGAATATTTTTTAGTGATAGGTACCTCTAATTATTGTGTATTTATTAATTAATTAATTTTTTTTATATTATTAATCGATAATGTATTTGTGTGTTTTTATTTATAAATTAACTTAACTAAACTATTGTCAAACTCAAAGATAATATCTTATCCTATATTTAGGAAAAGTCATCTGTGTACTTTTTCAGGTATTTTAAATTTAAATATAGAAAATAAATTATTACAAATTAAAAATGTTTTTATATTGAAAAATATTGACAATACCTGACAAGTGAGCATGAATCAATGTTTTCATCTTTAAGTTATTATAGTATGATAATAAAGTTGAATATTTTAATGTATTATTAATAATAACAAAACTTAATATTATATATAATATCGATTAGGTCAAACGTAAATATTGAATTATTTACTTACGCCGACAACAAATACGGATAATGTCACGTTTAGTTCTAAATTCTAATGGAGAGGACTACTTGAACTTGGTTCAAGGAATATTGTTTTCTAAAAAATTCGATTCGACATTTCAATGAACCAAATTTCTATTAATATTTGCAAACTGTTGGGATGTAATATTTATAAAGAAAATCGCGGCGCGTTTATTATTTCTGATATTATATTATATTTTTTTTTTTATTCGTATATTTATTGTTTCTATACTTTATCGTTATTTCAATCGTGGAACGTACCTACCTACCTGTATAATTGTATTGTGTGCACTAAAATTTAAATCGAATCGCAATCAATTAATCGGATATACGAGTGCGGCGCGTATACACACGTGCAACATAATATTATTTCCTAGTTAATAAATTATTTTTTATAGGTTTTTCGCTCTACGGACGATTATGATTTTTATACGAGTTTCATTATATGGGTAGGTACCTATAAAATCGCGAGGCCCGCTCTTGAAATTTATGTTTTCCCATTAAATACGCGTGCTATTGATTTCTTTTTTTCTCTCTACTCCTGCACGTACCTATCCTATTTAATTTCAATAGTCCAATGTTTTTCTTCTCGACAATTATTATTACACAGTACCTATATTATATAGGGGTACGGAATAATATATAATAAAAAAAAAAAACTACAATATACATAAACACGACCTACCGAAAATCAACACAATATCTAATTTTATATAGTATGTGACTGACTTATATAGCCGTCGATATAACGGTTTACGTTCTATATACCGTAGTGGTTTAAGATATGTCTGTGACGTTACAGCAAGTTGTTACATCATTGTTGGTCGAACGCCTTACCGTGGTAACGAGAAGCAACCGAAATCTCGCCCGAGCGTGTTTGCGTGCTCGTGTGGGTACCGCATATTATAATGACGCGCAATTTATCATACTTGGTTGGCGTTACGATAAATCTCCATCCAAGTCTGGGACGCGTGTGCGCTTTATTTATTTGTTGTTAAAAGGTCACATCGATCGATTCCGTCCTGCGTTATATTATTATTATTATTATTATATACACGCCACGATAAAACGAAAAATAATAATTTATACGACGACAAACGACGATGACATATCATTATTATATTATATTATTATTATTATTATTATTATACCGATGGTCGTAACATCCGACAAACTCTTCACGCACACCGATTTGCCTATTGAAGTGCGATAAAAAGCACCGGTTAACACCGATACGAATGAGTACAACTTGTCACTATACACACTTGTATATATATATATACAGCTGGTAGGTACACCGCATTTTCAATTAATATCATACCGCCGGCCGAGGTTAGACATTTCCGCATCCCCGAGTCCGTCACAATAATTATAATGTATCGATATATTAAAACTGCAGTCATCGTTATTATAATATTCGCACAGTGGTTTTTTTTTTATTATTATACCTGACCACGTGTAAAGACAAACCTTCTGTTTACGAACAGTGCATATTTCGTTTCCATTTTTAAGTACCTACACCTGAATACGTTTTATACATATAATAATAATAATATGCAATCCATTATCGATTGCAATACTTTTAATATTGTATATTATCAGCTGCGCGGACACTCGTTTTTTATATAATTTGTAATTTCAATATGCCATTCGATACTTACACTATATAGTATATATACACAGGTACACATGTATATTACCTGCCAACCTTTAATTAAAAACATAACAATATTCATATTTTTTGTGTACAAATTGTAGGTTATCCAACAACTACGCAGTACACCGATCGATACCTAATTATTATTATTTTTTTTTTTAATTATACCCGTGAGTAGCATGGTTTTGAAATAATTCGATACCGTGACAACCTATATAACATATATTGTTTCTGTTCATTTTTTCTAACCTTTAATTATTTATTTGTTTTTGAATAAAAAAAAAAAACAATTTAACTGTGATGCATATCATAATAATTAATGATATATTCCACGTATCTTATACTCGATAAGTACTTATTAATAACTTCTTCAATAGCCACCTTAAAAATGTCATACACTTGAATTTACGTGTAACTTTGAAATTTAATTATGTTTAATAATCGATAAAAACAAGATCGATGTATCAGTACATAACATGACTATAAGGCAGCGTATCATATTATTACCATATTATAATATGTTCGTTGCGGGGAATTAAAAATCATTATTCGAAACACTGAACGCAGTCAAATCTAATATTTCATACTATTGCAGGTGTATATATTTAGGCATACAAATATGTTATACTAAAATATATTATACCTAAATAATCTGATGGCCAGGTGTATATCTTTGCCATGTACTTCGTATAGTAATATTGAATCGGTACAGTTATTGAATCTCGTGCTTTTGATTCTAAATCAATAATAAGGTTATATATAAATATCGTATAGGTACTCACCATCGATGAGTGATGACTGATGACTATTAAATCTTAGTAATGTGTAGTTGTTTGTCATTCGAGATGGATTGAATTTCAATAAGAGTGTTTTTCAACTCATAAAAATATTTAGAAACGTTTAATTCCTCACGACATATTATCTTAATATATTATTATAATAATTGCATCCGATTGCGGTTTCTAATAGTTCTGCAATACGACCAAAATTGCAATTTATTCTCTTCTGCAGTAAAGTGAATGTTATCAATAAAATAAAAATTGCGATTTATATTTTCTATTTACTTACATAATATTGAGCATGTTTTTTTTTAAGGCGTCTCGTATTGTTGCAGTAGTTATTTATAGCATTATAATATATTATACTGTATAAGTAATATTATATTTTAATTTAACTTTTATATACAACAAACATCTAAAATACAACTTCGAATGTTACATAAGTACATAACTACTTCAAAGTGGTTCGACATTTTAGACTTCAGCAACGTTTTACTATATAGTCTTCGCATCAGTTACACACACAATGTGTACACTGTATTCTCATTGAAAATAATTAATTTATATCTTTTAATGTTAAATTCTGATACAAACAAATTTAATTTAGATCGATAAAATAAAACCCTTTGAATCATCTACGGAGCTTTATATCAGCTATACACCTTGTAGTAAGTTGTATAATATAATTAAATTTGATAATAAACGAAATATCAACAATGTCCCAAATGTCTTAAGACGACAAATAATAAAACGAGAACGTAAACTGTACAAACTATAATGTAAACGTTTGTAATCTGTTGTGTCTCGGAATGCGTTTGGAACTCGATAGATATACGCGTATTATATTTATTGCAAAACGTTTAATTTATTTTAAAAAAAATGTATTTGTACGTATTTTAATATAATTGTATTGACATATCTCTAAAAATGACTTAATAAAAATACAATAAATAAATAAATAAGTTATATTATATTACTTATGTATACATTTGGTATTTTTAGTTTTTACGTACAAACCATGCAATTAGTGACAAAAAATGCATGTATGTCAATGTTTTTTAATCAACAATATTGGTTTATTTTATTTAAAAAAAATGGAATACCTAATAGTGATCAATAAATAATAAAGACGCTACCACGTGTAGGATAACCTATATAATTTTATTTAAATAAACAGCTGATACATTATATTATGTATATTTTTTGTGCAAAATAGTTAAACACTAATTTGGAAACAACCATTTCGCCTTTACCAATAAGTAATAACAGTATAGTGATATACATCAATCTATAGCTATACAGACTTTGTGTCTGGAGATAACAAAGCGAAACAAAACGCCATCGTTGGACCGCGGTTAGTCTGAATTTATACTACAACAATAATTATACCATTATCATGGTAGTCGCCGACCGTGACCACTGATCTCCGCTCGTTCACAAAAGCCGTTGTTCGCGCGATTGTTGGTCGAAAGCGCTCCGGCAAGTGTCCACTGAGTGTCGTGTTCGCCGCGACCGTCTCTTTTGGGGGGAAATTACTTTCGAAGAAATCGATATTATGGTGTATCGATTAATATTATATTATTATTAATTTCCGTAGACCACTCTCCCGCGATAATACCAACAATATCGTCTGCACCATTGCCACACGATTAAATATTTGTATTGTGTTTTATATTTCATTATAATATTATTCACGCGATCGTCAACGAACAACGGCGCGGCGGTATAGTTTTGCAGTGACGTTTTCCTGAAAAAATTTAACAAATAAAAACCAGTCATCTTTGCCGTCCGGTTCCGGTCGCGTCGTCCAAAGATAATTCGCAATATAAATAGCAAATAATAATTTGACATGTCCGCGAATGATAATAATATAATAACAGCAACACATGCAATATAGATATAAACGTGTATGATTACCTGTAGTATTATAATATTGTTTATAATTCGTATGAAAAAGTGTATTATTATATTTTTGTACATCGCGTACTGCGACGACAATGAAGCGCATCACTTGTTTTTCGTGAAGTCCGTATCTCTTTTTTATTTACGTATAAATTTGGTGGATTGATAATTTTTTTTTTTTTTGCAGGTGGTAAACCATGTGGGCAGAATGAGCCGTGGCCGAAGAAAACTGTTGGTGTACGGGCTGGTCGTCGGCACGTTACTGTTGCTGGCGTACAAGCTGCGCACGTGCCCCGAACCCGAACCCCAAACCATGTTCATGATGCCGAAAGACGTGAGTATACCGCATATATAGATACCTTACATATCGTCATTATTTTAAAATTTCAAAATTATTTTACGCTTAAAATTATGACCGAATAAACTTTAGGATTCCTGCTGGTAATGGCGTATTTTTAGTCCCTGTGCGTGGTGGGTGTGCCGGGGGAATGGGTGAGTGGGTCGCGCCAACTATTGCATCGGGGTTTAATATTATAATAGGACGCGCGATCCGCGTATGCAATTTTTTTTTTAAAGGGACGAATTGTGGTTATTATATGGTTTTCCGATGGAATTCCATAGATACGTTCAGGGAAAAAGTCATCTACAGGCGGGTTGTTTTTCATTGATATAATATTTTACTATTTTTTTTTTTTTTTTGTAACTAAGAAAAAATCGATTACTATTCCAAGTTGTTTATGATATGGATACGCATTACACGGTGGAAACGACGGCGGAATAATAAAAATAAAGTGCTAATGGTCTGACACCGTTTTTTTTTTTTTTAATTATTTTCTTTCCATATCGATTTATTCATATTTAATTTACGCACCTATACACAGTCCCGACGAGAATTTCACCGTTTTTAAGTAGTTCGCGTGGCCGCAGGGGTATAATGTCCCATACATAATATATTATATTATCAATCTTACCGTTTTAAAACATTAGATCCTATCGCGGATCCCTCTCGATACATCATTGATCATATAGTAATATGCTACCTGTATCAAAAAAAAATTGTACGACTCTCAAAAATGTATAGAACATTGTAACCATCGATCACAAACCGTTTCCGTTTTTTCTCGCACATAATAATATATAATATAAACACAAAAGAATTTTAAATAATATATATCAAATGCATATTGCATGTTGTTTTACAAAAGGCAATTCTTATTTCCAGAAATAATAGTTATAATTGGCTATATACTGGACTCGATAAACATAAAGCCTACTATAAAAAAAAAAAATAAGTATTTTTTCCTTACGAATATATATTTTTTTCACACTATATGAGAGCAATTATTGCAGCATTTTATTATATTAATAATTATTATTACATGTAACATTATAATATTATTATCTTATCGCTTAATTATAAATAATAATAATTTCTACGCACAGATCCGGAAGGTCTCACGTTTATACTTCACCGCTCTACATTTTTAAACGTACAATTAAAAGATAATATCATGACGTCTTCAGAATTGTTATTACCCAAATAATACAATTTATAAGATTTTTTTTTTTACCTCACATACCTACCTACGTAGTCGTAAATTTGTTTATACGATATAATATACATTACCTACTATAAAGTATTTTCTATATAATAATTATAATATTATTTATCACTAAAATGTCCCTTTATAGCGCCGTTCCATGCAGTTACTTTTAAGTTTTTTACAACGTTATTATAACTTACATTATTACCGATAATCACATGGCAGATTCTATACATTTTGACTTATTGTGTGCCATAAGCAGGCCGCTGGGTTTAAAAATTGCCATGTATAGATAAAATACGATAAGAAAAGCGTTTTGTTTCGTGTTAAGTTCATTAATATTATAATCCATATATGTTTTAACTTATTTAAATTCGTCCGAATTAAATATAATAAAATATTATTACAGCCGCGGGGGCAATGGAATAATCTATAATCTCGGTGTAATAAATGTAATAAATATATGTGTTTATAAACCCTATTATACTACCTGCAAATAAATTTGTTAAATTGCATATACCTATCTAATTAAATAATAAAAAAAAAAAAACTCGTACGAAAGTCATAATATATTTTTTATTTTATGATAATTTCATGTAAATCGAATTGAACTATAAACAATCGAATTCGTCGATAACTGTCAAACTGCATCACGACATATTTTACGATGTCTATATATTATAATACGTACATATAGGTATAATATGCGTGTACGTTCTCTTTGTGTTTCGTGAACATTAAAAAATATTTTATACGTACCTATCATATAGATTCAACTACAGATTGTGTTAAAAAAATATTTTTAGATTATATTTTTTTTCCTATACGAACGTGTATCCTTATACATACTTCGAATGAAAAATTGAACGGGACGATACAACATTATAACCATGCCTGTAATAATAACGGATGTTAGAAAATATTAAGCATGGCGTGCTGCGTTTTTTTGGAAAAACGATTTAGACGAAAAGGATACATGTCCGGTTAACATTTGAAGCCGAAACCGATTAATCACTTAATTCGTTTAGCTATTGTATTAAATCACTTAAAAAAATTCTTCTTTATAAACATCGTAAGGCTTACGGAATTTTTATGTGTCGTGCACTTGTATAATATTTCGTATGACGTATTCGGATTTCCGTTTTTTTTAAACATTATGTGCGCAGTATCATAATATTATAATTTATAATTATTCGACTGTTACTGGTTTAAACACCGCGTGTTATTCCGATACACGAGAATTTTTATTCCTTGTGTTCAAGTTATCAATTAAGGTTTGACATTATTTTAGAGCCTGAGTGAAGTGTCTAACGAGGAAAGTGTATTGTGGTTTTATAATGGTGTTTTTTTTTTATGCTTTTATATTTAATGTAATAATATTGTGGACTTTTTTTTCGAGTAGCAAATTTTCCAAATCTCCTTTAGTGATAGGAAATCGATTGTAGGTTTTACTATTCAGACTTTAAAGATATTACTTTTCATTTTCTTATTTGTTTCTCTAAGCGTGAACAAAATTCACTGACAACCGTCGAGAAAAATTTAATTGAAGGAGTGTCAGCAACCGCAGTTTTGGAAAATAACAGTTTGCATAGTTTTAATTGTGAGCTCCGTTCTAAATAAGTTATAAATATTTTCGCGTGCTATGATTTATCATTGTTTTGAAGTTTTATATGACAATATTCCATATTTCCTGTTCCGAATTATTGAGAGAGACAAGACGAATGCTCAACAACAGCGGTCTATATATTCAGTCCGCATTTTTTGGAAAAAGTTTTTATTCAATATGGCCATTGTATTTTGCTTGGTGTAACACTGGATTATGTTATTGTTGACCGTCAATCACAATAAGTAGCTATTTCATTGTTGACTGTTTAAAAATAACAATATTTAATACCACCGTCGTGTTCCCGAAAAATATTTTTAATTGGCGGCACCATTACCAATTTTTCATTACCTACAAATAATAAATTGGAATAATATAGTTTCTACTATCGCGTACATGTTATATTCACTTCCGTACATTCAATTCTCGTTTCGGAAATGAACACAAATTCGGGTAACGAAACAATTATCAACCATACAATATTGTTGATACAACAAAAATATATATTTTCATCTGCTCTCATGTTTGCAGTATGTCGTTTTATTATTGTTCTATTGTCACCGAAATTTTTTTAATCTCCGACTCATTCCTTTAAAAAATAACAGAAGTTTATTAAAATTCCAAACAGCCGGGACGACTTTCGTGTCCCTTTCATCGAGATTTTTTATTTTTTAATGTTCATAATAATGTGTACGTAACATATAACGACGTCATTATTGTTAATATCGGACAATACTAAAAAAAAAAAACTTGTAGAAAACTTTAGATGACCTACACAAAATATAATATTACAATTTACAGCCATGTTGCATTATGGTCTATAATATACTATAAATATAATGCACTGATGCAATAATAAACGGGTAGATCCCCCGGTCCGAACAACGCCCCTTAGGTCGTTATTAACTATTCATATATTGCCAGTGCTAAATTTTATTTAGTAATAATAATAGTATTAATGGCCCTTTGCAAAGTAAAGTATATCATATCTATGGTATAATAATAAAGGACCGATTGGTCCTGGTGAAAAATAGTTTTGTAAAAATATTTTAGTTGTAAAATTGGAGCATATAATATTTGAAAAAAAAAATTGTTGCGTATCATTGAAATGACTTGACAGCACTTATATTGTATCGTTTTGTTTCAGAAATTTGTTACCGATGAAAACATGAAGATCTACTCTTATGATCGAAATATGCCACTAATATTCATCGGTGGCGTGCCCAGATCCGGCACTACGCTCATGAGAGCCATGTTGGACGCTCATCCGGACGTCCGGTAAATATAATATAACGGTTGAAATATACATAAACTTGCCAATTTGTATAGTTAATAGTTATGAATATCTTACAACTTAACACACATTTTCAGTATACCTATATCTACGTATTTTGCCAGCCAGTCATATTATATCTAGTTGTTGTAGACGTATAGAAAATGACTTTTGTATTTTAAATACACTTTAACTTAATTTATTTCTTATTTCTCATATACTTAAACACAATTCTAACTACTTAGCTGGTATTTAAACTGGTTTATATACTTTGGTTACAAGTGATTTCATATCAGGATTTTCCCGTATTATACATCTTAATATGATATACCTTTTTTAATATAGAAAAGGGCTTCCGGCTTAAAGCACTAATTATTCGATAAATTTTCTGTCGGAAAACGTACGAAAACTTTCTTATTGAATTTACAGATTATTGACCAATTAGACAAAGATATCGTACCTATTACAATCTATATAATTATACATTTTTAGTTGGCACGTTAATCAATAAATTAGTATAAATATACCTAATAATAAAGTACCTAGTACAATAATATATTACGATACACAATTTGACTCCAACCGTGCGCTGCAGGTGTGGCCAGGAGACTCGGGTAGTGCCAAGGATCCTGCAGATGCGCAATCACTGGTACAAATCGTCCAAAGAGTCACTTCGGCTGAAGGAAGCCGGAGTCTCTGAAGAAGTCATCAACTCCGCGGTTGCTTCGTTCATTCTCGAAGTTATCGCTCGGCACGGGGTGCCGGCACCCCGACTGTGCAACAAAGACCCGCTGGCGCTCAAGTCCATGGACTATCTGAAGGTGTTGTTTCCCAACGCCAAATACATATTCATGGTTCGCGACGGCCGAGCAACCGTCCATTCGATCATATCGCGTAAAGTGAGTATACATTTTCAAAAAATATATATATATTATTTCACTCTAACCCATTAACATTTTACGAAACAAATTAATTTTGCATATAGATAATGAATTTATTACGGTTTTCATTGTTTAGCTTTAAAAGTTAAAATATATATGTTATTAAACAACTATATGTTAGAACATAAAATTGTTTTTAAAAATCAGCAGTGTACACAGTGCTGTGTAAAATTTATTAGGTATATTTATGTATTTAATGTTTCCATTTATTCGTCCACTGTCGATAAATTATCTACAGCCAATTACGAAAATCCGTTTATTTTTACCATTTGTTCATTAAATATTATCTTTATAAATGTTCTTGTAAAATAAGCGATACGCGGATGCTGTTCATATTTTATAACAGCGAATGCTGAAGCTTTAGGTCATGATATCCGTAATCTAATAATAAATCGTGTATCAATAAACCGTATAATATTATAGCGTATTATGTAAATTGTCATAACGTCGTATTATCATATATTATGTATTATATGTATATATATATATAGACATTACACACAACTACACAAGACCATTGAGTTTTATCGATTTAAAATGTAAATCGATGAACTCATATCGCCGTTATAGCGATTTGATCCCCACTGCTGAGTCGCGAAAATATTTTCGTGGTATATATACCACAACAATATTACCTTTAACTTAAGCAGTTCAACGTGTCAGAGTTAAATAAAAAGCTATGACGTATGCTTTTCTATTTATTCTACTATTCTACTACTTGCGTGTTTCTCAGTTGTTAATTTATACACCTTTTTCTAGTTTAGATCTTGTCTTGACTTTTTTTTTACTTAAACTGTATAGGTACATAATTGTACAAGTAAATTCTAAGTTTATCTGTACACGTACCTATATACGTCGTGACCCTCCACACGAGTATACTCGGTGGGGCCCAGTATTCATTGTATGAAATTCAAATAAAATATAATAAAGAAATACAATATGCACCTATTGAAAATATATACCTCTCTGAAAGTATCGCAATAGCTGTGTCTATTTTATTATCATATTATTATTTATAGACATTTTAAGTAGGTAGGGTAATAAATATGGTTGCGATGACCACATGCGTATGAGACAATAGTATAAACAGTTTTCCACATAGATAAGCAATATGTTTGGAACAAATCGTCGTCGTCCGATGAACGTTATAAATAAATAATAATAATAAGTATGATGTGTTGAGCAAAAATACTAATTTCGTCCACACCTATTTCTATTTTTTTTAATGAAAATAATAATTCAAAATCCGCTCCGCGGTACAACATATTATATAATATTCGAAAACTAACCCTGGATGTGAATGAATGCTCTTTAAGATAAAATACGAACGTTAATGGCCTTATTAGGTACCAGAATTATTTCAAAACTTGATAAACTTTAATAATTAAACTTAGTGAATAAATCAAATAATTTAAAAGTTTATTTACGAGGCTGGCTTATACAATATTTAATACGTTTACGATGCGTTAATTGTATTCAGCGCAAAAACGCTTTCATAATTCATATCTGTTTATTTTCGTTTTGGCTGAAAAATTGTATTTTCTCGTCGGTCGGTTGTGGCCCACAGGGGAGGGGGAAGGGGTTGAGTTGTGAATAATATATATTATGGATGTATTAAATATTATGTATGTGACGTACCTATTACATTATACCGTGTATATGGTTTGGTTTGTCGTTATTTTTGACGCGTCGTCGTCGTGTCTTAACGAATATTATACGCCACTGTGAGCAGGGTCGTTGGCGTCAAAACGTCGACAGTCGAATCAGTTCTGCGTCATATCCGACACATATATTTTCTAGTTATAAAATGAGGTGATTAATATTTTGATCGCTGAATGATTTTAGTCTAATCGACGTATATAATATACAGCTCGATTTGCATACTAACAACGGTGTTGGTTTGATGAAAACATTATGAATATCGTATAAATTAAAATTAAAACTCTTGCAAGACTATTTGCTAATTGAACTAAAATTGTACTTTTTGTTGTTGAACATGCATCAGTGCGTTTTAGTTTGTTTACAAAATGAATAATTTTAATATCCATTTAGAGGATGAGAACCTCTCAAAATGACAGTGTCGTGATATGTGGTTACAATAACTATTTCACGTATCATTGTACCGTACAATTGAATTATTTACGGTGTTTATTGTTATGATTTTGTTTTATTTTCCCAAAATCTATATTTCTTCATTATTTTTGAGGAATGATATAATATGTTACGCCTTTTTGTATAGGTGACAATCACCGGTTTCGACTTGAACAGCTATAGACAGTGTCTGGAAAAATGGGACGACGCCATCGGCGTCATGTACAAAAACTGCAACAAAGTCGGGGCCGGATACTGTCTGATGGTGTACTACGAGCAATTGGTGTTGAGGCCTCGGGCCACGTTGACCGAGATTCTCAACTTCCTGGATATCCCGTGGAATGAGACGGTGCTCCACCACAATGAAATGATCAACAAGCCCGGAGGGATCGCCCTGTCGATGTAAGTCCATATACTGACCGATGCCCATATAATACAATGCGTATAGGATGGTCTATTATCTTATCTGCGTAATAAGGCGATTGTACGTGTGGATTTCAACGAGTTAATTTCACTTTGGATTTTTCCCCATCATTATTGTACTTTATTAATGATTAAATGAAACCACGCAAGATTTCCGTGTACCTGTATGCAAAAACGAAAAACGATAAAAAAACCAAATGAAAAAAAATCCCAAAAACATTTGAAAACAACGTACCTAGATGTTTTCAAATGTTTTTGGGATTTTTTTTCATTTGGTTTTTTTTATCGTTTTTCGGAAACTCGTTACAATTTGTTTGGCTAGGAAACGACCCAATTCACAAAATTATCTATTTTCAGTATTATTGTAAACAGAAAAACTTTGGTTAACATTTTTATGTAAAAATCGAAAGTGCGTATTATAAGAACTTATATTTGTTAAGTAAATATAGCAGCTAGGTACTATCTTATCCCTACAGCGTATTAACTGTGTTTGTTCTGTATTCAAAATTATGTACATAATATACTAATATATATATTTAGAAAAATATTATCTGCGTCAGAACAATGTAAAATTTAAAAAGCGTCATCAATCAAAATAGTAAACATTTCAAAAATCGGTATAATAAAAATAGTTTGAAACAAAAGTATAAACGATGACGTAATGAAAATTAAATTTACTCAAATTCTTTATTGTAGATAATAAATTGCTCGGCTCTGATTAGACGATTTATAATAATAATGCAGTGAATTAATTATTTTCCAAAATCAAATGCCGCAGTATTATTGACATACCGAAGCCAAAATATTATTTTCAAATCTTAATTTAGGAACCCGTATGTGGAAGATATCCCACAATGTCCATAACGATAATCGGCTGTAATAACCCTTACAAAAAAAAAATCTCATCCCAACAAACATTTGCAAAAACGGTGGTCTATTGATTTTCTTTTGGTTGAAAAAACGAATTTAAAATTGTTCGATAGAATTATATCTTTGTCACGGACTTCGGACAATATATATTAGAATAGGCAAATACGGTAAAAGATATTTCCTATTTTTTTATTCCGTTATCAAGATATATCGCATCTTTCGACCGAAACATCAGCAGTTACGTACCACATGCCTCAAACACTTGTGCAGGCGATTTACTCAATATAACAGCATATACAGTATAACTTTTTGGTCCAATAGGCCGCCAACCAATTGCTTTAGTAATAATATTAAAATTCTATGAATTAATGTTTTAATTGTTTAGTTTTCCCTATTATTTCAAAAGTACCTACCAACTAGATCCAATTTGGTACAAGTTACCTCCATAAAATTTGTGGATCGGAGCATTTTTTTATACTTGAAAAAGTGACTTGTGACATAAAAAAAAAAATAAAAAAAGCACACACATCATTGTTAAATCAATACATTCATCACCACGTTCAGAGAAACTAAAACTATAAATCAAATACTATTAATAATACTAAAGAAATGATGTTTTTTTAACCAAACATAGACGTGTACATGCGGTTTACGTCGTCCATTTCTCCTAACAGTCTCCCTTCGCTCTCTAGATCCCTGCCCGACGATTGGTATAATTGCTCAAAAGTGAAAAACAAATCATCCTCCACGCTCTATGATCTATTTGCATATAATATAGCCTGAAGTGTACTCGATGTCTGTAACGGTTGTGTTTGCTACAGGGTGGAACGTTCGTCCGACCAAGTGGTCAGGCCGCTGTACCAAGAAGCGCTGACCAAATGGGTGGGCCAGATACCCGACGACGTGGTCAACGACATGGCAAACATCGCACCCATGCTGAGCACTCTTGGGTACGACCCGGCAGCCAATCCACCCACATACGGCATCCCGGAAAACGTGGCCTCACCAGAGCATCAGTACGAGTCGAGTGCCAGTGGTGATTCGACGAAGCAAACCACCACGCGCAAGCGGTAGAGTCGAAATACATATACATATTTTTTGTTTTTTTGTTTTTTAATTATTTCACACTTCTTATTATTGCAATCGTTTTTAAATTGTGTGTACAGGTACCTCCTAATATAAACATGAACAAAATAATATTAAAATATTTTATTGAATACATCAGAACGGTTTGTCAAACGTGTGTGTGTGTGTACATATTTTATATTAAATAAATATGATAAATACGTATTATTATCCATATGTGTATACTTATGATATATATATACTTATGATGATAATATTTGTATGTAAGATAATATGTTCTACTTATTATTACGACGATGTTGGGTATTATAAATATATACCTAGATAATAATGTCTGTACGTTATTATTACTATACTTATTGTTCACGTTTTTTTTTTTTTTTTTTAAAAACGATTTTATATATATATATTTAAATATTATATTTTATTATTAACTTTCATTTTTGTACTTAGATATGTTTACACCGATTACGAGCAGTGAGAGAGTACTTGTCGATATTTGTAATAACTGTTTTTTTTTTTTACATTTTATTGTTATAAAACGACAATCTCATTAATGTTTTCGACTTAAAAATGATAGATTTTTTTCTCTTCAAATATAGTAAGACTTGTATAATTTATAACGTGTTATTTCCTATTGGGACACGATTTTGTGTTCATTTTATTTGTATACACCCCACTATATTAAAATATAATCTCTACCTATATGAAAACATAATTTTCAATCTAAATGTGTATTTTTGAGCCTTTCCCATTTTAAAATTATTAACGATATCTATTACCATAATACTATAATAACTTTGACTAATAAATAGGTTATATGTATAAACTATAAACTATTCAATTGGTAGGTCTTATTATACAATGGATAGAATAAAAACTGATTTTTGCAAGTACAGCAAAAATATTTCAAACGTGGGCAAATAAATTAATCAATTAACGCAGCTAAGTTACATTAGGTACAATAAAAACCTTTAAGTATACTTACTTGAGTCGATAGGGTTCTTAGCGTTGTTTTACGTAATGGACAGTGCCTTGATCAAAATTTATTAGTAGTTTCGTCATAAACGAGTAAATCTGTCAATTTATATTAAAATAATTGGTTTGCTTCAGTATGAATTGAATTCAGTTAATAATATATTTCAAAATACCTAACTCATGGTGTAAAAAGTGAGCACATTATCTGAAATCATGAAAAGCCTTATTTTAATACCTAGTATATCACTTATATACCTAACAGGGTACTTATTTGTGCACTCATTATTCTTAAATCAATTTTGTTTTCGAAAACCCCAAAAATATACTGAAATAGCATTACATCTGTGTTATAAAGAAAACAAACGTTATGTAGTTTCAAGCCAACAAGCTCCGTTTTTTCCAAAATCCCTTATGCTTATTGTAAGTTATACACGTGTATAGATTGTAAAATTTTCTAAATAAAATGTAGAAATATTGTCATGTGTTAAATGTGATCCAAAAAAAAAACTCTTCGACGATTTCATTTGTTTGAGGCGCGTGCAGAGCAAACGATTTTACTTTATTAGTTTTATACATTCTATATTATACGTTATAATCTATTTATTTTGACAAAGCCTATTCACCAACCAATTAACAAAATAATATAGCAACATATTTAAATGTGTACATCAATTATTAAAGCAAATTTTTGGTTAATTTCATAATTATCTATGCCCTATGGAGATTAATGTACCCAATCCAACTAATATTTTGATTGTTCTCGATAACTTTGCTGTTTTTAGAGAATAAAAAAAAATATTTTTTTAAGATCTCGGTATAAACATGTTTAATTGTATGGTAAATACTCATAAAATGTACACATTTAAGTATATTATAGTAAATTTATAAAAATTTAAACTACTTATAAATACTGAATCGTTTTAATCAATCACGTGTATTAGATTATAATATTATACTATGACACAATGTACATTGTACCTATACCCAATAAAACCATTATGTTATGGTAAATTATAAACAACAACAATAATATTTAATCGTTAAAAGAAATTTAAATGCTTTTTTTTAAAACTGCTGGGAAAATAAACATTGATTTATTTCGATTTATTGAGTAAATAAATGTTACTATAATTGTATCAAATTAAACCTATTACGTTTGTACATAATATTATAATCATTAACTAAGGACTTAAATAAAATCATATTGTTACCCTTAGGAGGCATTGATCGCCTGCAAGTAAATCATTCAATTCGTAATATTTGTTATTGTTCTTAAGAAGAAAGTTATTTTGTGAATGTTTTTGCACTTCTCAGTGTATCGTTTTGTATGTAAATGTATGTCAAATTTCAATAGCGTTGTGATAGTTGATTAATGTTTTTATCTGATATTTTGGTTTTACTAATAAATAATTATCTGTAAGTGATAAAAAAAAAATACATTTGGTACCTACCTACTTTAAATGTCCCATCGACCATTATTCTTAATTCAACTCGATGTATCTGTCTAGTTTGTATAATAGGGTGATTTGTATTGTATTTTTTTAAATGAAATTGTTTGGTATTATTGCCCCTGAAATTACTGTTTGCGGTCATGAAGACTTGCAGGTATTTAATTAATCTAGTCTTTGACACAAGCATTTTATTCCCATGATATATTTTTCTGAATTAATATGATCAGAATTATTTCATTACCCATAGGTCAGTTCCTGTTATAGTTTTACACTTCTTTAATTAGTTCTCTTGTATTTATTTTATGTTAATTTATATATAATTTTTTATGATGAATTGTATTAAAATATGATAAAAAATAAATAAATATATTAATTTTGTTGATGAGCTTTTATAATTAGTATTTTATTTAAATGTCCACACCAAAAATATGTTTGAATAGAAAACTTGATAATCAAAGATGGTTCAAAGACGAAAAGTCATAATCAAACAAGTCAATAACATCAATAACAAACCCTGATACTATCATAGATATATAATAGTGTACTTTAGAAGTTTCAAGTTCCCACGAATAATATTATACAACCACAACAAAATAACTAAAATAGTTATTCTAGGTTTTTAATATGTTATTTCGTCCAAATTTGAACTTAAAATGACTATAAAAATAAATTGTGCCTATGTATTTTTTAGATTCGTTGGTAACAGATTTAACTACTAACGTGGAATCTTGTTTTAAATTTTCAATCCTTAGATATAAAAGTTGAACATTTTATACATTTTTAATTACAAAATATTACAATTTTAAATTTGATAAATTTTGTAAAAATTTGATCTTTAAATGCTTAAAAAAAAAAATTGTGCCTATGTATTTTTAATATTTTTCAACTTATATTGTAACAATATATCAGGAGCCTTGTATTAAATTTTTACACTTTTTGGCCCAACAGATAAAACTTTATTGATATTTATAGAAAAAAAAAAACTAAATAAAATTGAAAACTGTAATTGTCCGTAAACAGCTCAAAAAGAATCAAAATATTTTCAAAATTGTATAGTGTATAGGTAATGCTAATATAAACATTCAGTGAAATTTTCATGTATCTGCAGTCATTCGTTTCTGAATTACAACAAAATAATTAAATCACTACACGAGAAATCGAGTGAATATCCAATGTTGTAAAAATTTGAATTTCAAACGCTAATAAAAATTTAATTTGACTTTCTTATAGACATTTTTTTTTTTGATAATGAATAAAAAATAGTATTTGCTTTAATACTACCTAGTACCTACCTATGTAGTTTGGACAGTTAATGCTTAATATCGGTAAACTTACTCAATGTTTTTTTAAAATTAATGAAATATCATGCAATGTTTGTAAATTACTATTAATTACGTGCTACTAGCTATTCGTAAAATATTATATACTAAAAATGCATATGTATACGTATATTAAATACGCTTTAATAGTTTATAATAATATAGGTAGGTACATAGATTTAATCTATTTTTAACGTGATCGTTTGCCTTGAAGCTTGAATACCATAACCAAGTTACTGTTGAGCTGTTTTTGTCTCGTCTATTTCAGAATTAATAAATTAATATGATATGTAATATTAGTTATACATTTTTCGTTAAAAATTATTCTTCCTTAGATTTTTCAAAAGAGAATAAAAGTAATACAACTACAAATATTACTTTTTCCCGGAAAAATCTGATTTAATTTAACAAAAGTTCATAGTTGGGTATGAATTCTGTATATTAGAATAAGTACCTGCTTGGTAGTCTGTAGAATTTTAGCACTCTACATTATTTTAACTACTTGAGTAGTTGAGTGGTTGAAATGTAGGATACCTCTTCTTTATAATTTTCATATTTTATCCCATAAGTTTACTAATCAGTTCGATTTATAGGAACTTCAAATAAAAACTACCAATTATTCTTGTAGGTATAATATGTTTTATTATGCGCAGTATTCAGTGCAATTAAAAAGGTATTGGTTTTTCCTTACAAAGAATTACGCAGTTTAAAAGTACACAAATAATTTTGATAACTGCGTGAGCTAAATGAGCACAATACAAAATTTTTTTTCTACAAACTAAGATCTGTTCAATAAAACATAGTAATACCACTGCACACCATTGGTCCCATTTACTTGGTTCGAATAAATTGTTGTGTTCATTGCAGTGGTCCCCAAATGGTTTACGATGAAATCGAATGTGTCTCGAAGGAGTGTGCAGCCGATATTTCGGTCCATTATTTTTTTTTTTAAATTTATAACAACTATCCTCTTTGGGCTTAATGGATTTACGCTACTTATGTACTTGTTTAATAATATGTAGGTTTAGGTGAAGTATGGTCTTTCGAGATACTCTTGTTTGATATAAAGATTTTCGAAATCCGTTACTGATAAGCGTTTCTTCATTCTTGTACTCAATATAATCATATTATAATATATATATCAACTGTATTTATATAGGACGTGATGGTGTTATGTTGGATCAGGGATGCTGAAGGGATGTATAATATTAGGTAAACAATATCTTGGGATAATATAAAAAAATAAAAATAGTTAATTCTATCAGAAACCATACGAATACTTTTCAAGGCTGCAGGAATAGCGCGAACAATCAAAATAACGATAACACCGACGAGAGGAAAAAAAGTC